TGGGGGGAATTGGAGGATTTAAAGGACAAAATTCCAGCTGCCAAGTGTATCCAGAGTACCCCTTAATGATCCTGATCCTCTCCAAGTGCCAAAATATACATTTGTATTTTTATGCAACCATATCACACTGTAGAGTTATATTCAGTGGGTAATCAACTCTTCTAAGAAGCTTGACCTCTGTAGATGCCATATGCTAAATAAAAAAAATAAATAAAATAAAATTCCTCTAAGATCTTTTTTCCCAACCCAATTCTGTATGTGGATGACTGATTATTGCTTCCTACCTAAAGGATTTTGCATTTGCCCTGTTACATTTCATGCTGTAGCTTTCATTTCTATAACCTATCATGATACTTTTGCTTTATTTGAATATTATTTCTATCCTTCCACACACTGTTGTTTCCTCTGCACATTGGATAAGCATCCCTTTAGCCTTTCCATCCCACTTATTAGTCCAAAAATTAAAGATCATTAGATACAGGAATGATACCTTACTCTAGTTGGACGAGAGTCATTAGACAGCTAACCGTTAATGACAATCTAGCTAATTGTCCTATTTCACTGATGCTTAAAGTAGCTTGCTGATCACTGTACCGTGGATACTTCTTCAAAAGTTGGTATTCCTATAATTTATGAAGTAAATTACTGATTTTTAAAAAATGAATTAACCGGTAATCTGGTGAAAATAGATCTTGACAAATGCATGCTGATTCCTAATAATGGCTGCATAATTTTCAAGATGATTGATGATGATTTCCCTTGTGATTTAGTCCACAATCTTCTCAGTCATTCCTGTTAAGCTGACTTGCACCAGAGCTTCAAAAGGAGATGGCCACCAGAGAACATTTATGGGAGCAGATGACGCAAGAGGATCCAAGCTAAGGATCCAGCCATGTATTTTAGCGAAAACCAGTGAAGGCACTAAGGATATAATGCTTACCTTGACAGAGTAGGCTAAAGAGATGGTGACAGCCAGTGGCAAGCCTTCGGGTACAGCTACCACCAGGACGGTGACCCCAATAATAAAGAACTTGACAAAGTATTGCACGTAAACAGGAGTGCACTCAGACATCCACGTCTGCCCTTCAACAACAAAGGCTTGAATGATGAAAAACAGGACAAGGATGATGACTGTGATAGCTGACATCACCAGCCCTAGCAGGATTGGAGAAAATAAAGAAGAAGAAGAGAGACAGTCAGATGCAACAGCAAGACCTGAATCTGTGAAATTACACACCCTGCAAATAAGATTGTGTCTTGAGAACATTTTGTATTTAAAAGCTAGAATGTGAGAAGAAAATTCCCCAAAGGGCTTCTTGGCACAAGGTCCAGTCAATTCCACAAATTTCCACTCTTAAAATGGGAACGGATGGGACCTGTTGCTGTCTACACAGCCTTCTCCAAGCTGATGGCCTCAGGATTATATCTCTTTTCCGTGACCCGACAAAAGCGCGAACGTCAAAAGCGCGCCGACAAAAGCGCGGCACTAAAACCGCAATGTCAAAAGCGCGCCGACAAAAGCGCGGCACTAAAACCGCAATGTCAAAAGCGCGCCGACAACAGCGCAACGACAACA